ATCTTGAATAAACACAAGATCCAGGTCCGATTCAACATATTACATAAAATCCGTAATCTGGTTCCGTCTGTAAAAGATGTGATTCCGGACATACAGTACCCTGGCGTCTACAAACTAAGTTGCCTCTGTTCTAGTAGTTACATTGGAGAAACCAAACGACATGTCTCGGACCGCATTCGTGAACAAAAAGCAGACTTAAAACACGGTAGGACCAACACCTCGGCCGTGGCAGATCACTGTTATAATTCAGTAGGTTCACATGACATTGACTTCTCCAAGACAGAGGTTCTTTGCAAGCCATCGGGCTACCATGAGAGATTCGTTCATGAGGCTATCCACATACAAACACAGAGACAATTTCAACTGAGAAGATGGATTCTGGCTTAGCAATCATTGGAAGGATTTGATAAAACATTTCGGGTCTTAATTGATTGTTCATGCTTACGGTGGCTTTCAGACCGCATCCATTATTTTCGTCTCCCTCCCTCCTCTTTTCCGAACATAGATGGACTCGTCCATCTGAGTAACTGCCAAATCGCTCTCCATGGTGCTAACGTTAAAAAAACCCGCCACTTTTTTCAAATTTCCTTGCTGTGGGTTTCACACCTGATGATGAGTGCTTGTGTTGCAGTCGAAACGTCGTGAGAATTGTATTGTTTTACATTTGTTTTATTTTATTGTTTCCCTTCTACGTGACTTTACCGAAAGAACCAAGAATATGAATCCCTGCAGTCACGAAAGCTTTAAATAAAAATGTATACCCTCTTGTGTTGAAACAATACAAATGCTAATGTACACAAATATTTTGTTATATCATTCGGTTATAATTACTTTCTCTATATTTTTTGCATTTCACATCGTGTTTATTTAGTCATTTGTAACTCTTGCTGCCGTGTCCATCTGCTTGCCGAGTGACTTTCAAAATAGCAGTGTAGCTCAATGGGTAATTTACTTGTATAATAAACTTCCGATCGAGGGGTGGTTCAAAAGTTACAGATATACTTGTGTAATAAGTGGCTCCGACACGGCAAGTAACTTCGGTATATTTATTCAAGGTTCGGTACGGCCGCTCCTCTTGTTCCGCGGATGCCGGCCCGTTCTCGTGGCTGCGCTTCCCCGCGCCACGTGGCGCTCTCCCCGCTCTCTACCGCACCCCCAGGCTGGCGGCGCGCTGGCTTGAGCGGCTTGAGCGGCTGGAGGTCGAGCCGCCGCATGGCAGGTGGAGATGGCGGGGCAGCAGCGGCGGGGAGCACCTCTTCTATCTTCAAAAAACGACCCCCTAACGTTGCTGTACCCCCTGCTTATAGTCTCTTCTCCGAGGCTAAGGCCCGCCTATGGCCACGCCCCTCTAGGAATTTTTGGGAATGTTCCAGAGGTTTCCATACTAGATCCGCCCACTAACCTTTCCCCTAGATAGAATCCGTACTACTGATGGTTGGTGGACTGCATGCTGCCAGTATGTAAACGTAATGCCACAATAATGCAGGAGATGGCGCTCGCTTATTACACTTGCATGGCAAGGAGTTAAAAAAGGACAATCAGCCCTTGCTCCATCTAGAGTCTAGACCATACTAGAGAACAATATGGCAATGTGATAGGACTTGGCACTCCAGCCGTATATTTCCCGGGGAACTGATGCTTTTGTTGATGAAACCAGATTCAAGAGCTTCTTTGCTCACCGGGTACTTCAAAATAAACTGAACTAATGTGAGGGGAGATAATGTTACATGGTGCAGTTAAAAACATATGCTAAAATATAAAACCCACATATCAATATAAGATTTAAAGGCTTAGTTGAGAGTGATGTAAAGATGCTGGTGCAATACAGTGTGGAGGATGTGGGCCACATTTGAGTGAGGGGGTTGGTGAACTAGTACAGAAAGGGCAAGTGAATACTTAATTGAGCTTTATGCAGTGGCTGATTCAGTGGCACAGCATACTTAGTTTATTAATTAGCAGTAGAACCACGTGCACTGAGTGTTAATTCCAAACATATGTAGAATAGCCTGGGCAGTATTATATTCCAAATAGGTGTAGGGCTTAAATTATATTAAGACATTAATTAAGCAAGCCCAGCCCAGATTTCATGTAAAGAACCCACTCAAACACAGAATTGAGACGCTTGGAGAAACGACAGCAGGAGGATACCAGCTACAAGCAGCTCTCCTCAACAGCCAGCCAGCAGTGGAGATACGAGCTGATAAGGGAGAACTGCCAAGCTTGATTGCTTGGGTCAGGAGCAGGGATAAGCAAGGACATTTCAGCAAGGGGGGTGGGGGGCGGAACACAAGGGGGCAGCCTCTAGCGCCACCCTACAGTGGTGAAGGAGCCAGTGGTGCACATGTTGCAGCCAAATCGACAGAAGCCAAAGATCTGCTGTTATTCGAACCCATGTCTCCAATATTGTGAGCACCAAAGTCTAAATAATGTAGTGTAAGGGGGGGGGGGGTGTCAAGATGAAAAGAGTGTTGGAAACCACAAAGTCATCACAACAATCCCCAGAACTGAGGGAGAACCGAGATCAGCGATCTCAGGAAAGTGCAACATCCCGTGCGACTCGCCATACTTTTGTGGATAATGGTAATATACCCATATCCAGAAAGCTAGACTAATGTTGCCTTATCTAAGAGTGTGTTTCCAGCCAAAACAATCCCCTACCTAATCGATGGTGCCAGACGGTAACACTGTTGAATGTGCCATGGGGAGAAGGACAATTCAAATTAGCTTTTCCCCTTATGGTGCTCATAGCCACCGCAGCAGCCAATGGGGGCTCTATATGGGTACAAGGAGCTGGTGGCACCTTCACCTTCAACCTAATTACCACACAGTACTCTACTCGGGGCAGGAGACTGCCAAACAATGGAGTGACCTTTTCCTATGAACATACGAATGTAGGGGGCGTGGGAGAATGGCAGTGAGGTGTGGGAAGCTGTAAGCCCCAGGCTACTGTGGGTTCACCTTCCCATCAACCAGAGCTGAGTGGTGGTCGTGAATATCAGTGGAGGGATGCAAGCAAGGCGGATTAGTCAGATGCCTTCGATAACCTCCTGTCACAGGTGCTAGCTAAAGTACCCCCTCAGGATAGTCATCCTGTTGGGTGACTTTAATGCCTGAGTGGGTCATGATGCTGGTACTTGGGCTGGGGTTATTGGAAGACATGGGCCAGATTAGCTCAAAAACAACAGTAGGCAGCTGTAAGACTCGTGCAGCCCATGGGCTTGTAATTACCAACATGCTGTTCTGGCATCGGCACATCCACACATGTGTAATGTCGGCCAGGAGAGGTAATCACGGGTATGGGTGCGTTATACTGGTAGGAAACGTAGTGGACTGGAAGCCCAACCGGGATTAATTCACAGGAGGCAGGGGATTAATTGTGTATGTCTGTCCACGTCGGAGGGGTGAGGCTGGATGGAGAGGGGAGGGTAGGGAGGGGCTGGATGGGGCTGGGTGGGGAGTGGGAGGGGTGGGGCTGGGTGGGGAGGGTCTGGTCACCCCGTGGTGCCCTTATATGAACTGGAAGCCCAACTGGGATTAATTCACAGGAGGCAGGGGATTATCCACTGCACTTTCTGGTGCAACCTCTTTTACACTGCACTTTATAGCGTCGTTTTATAATTCTGCTCACTTTTCATTTTGCTTTCTTCTGCGCACGACCCTAACAAGTTTGGCTTAAATATCCGTACATAATTACTTCATAATGACTTCAAAATTTCCTACCAGCCCCCTCCGCAGGAATGTGTTATAATAACCAACTAGAAGGGGGACGTATCTGGGTTAAAGGTAAAAAGCGGGATCAGTCGAGAAGCTCCAGGAATCTGCTAGGAGGTTCTAGAAGGGGGCTTGGCCGGAGGCGGGGCCTGGCCACGCCGGGAAGTATATAAGGGGGACGTGACCAAAGGTTTGGGGCTGTCACAGGGTCCCAGGTCCTGGCTGCGTCGCTGCTTGCCGTCATCTCTCTTCGTCGTCCGTGCCGCATGGCCGATCCTCTGCACGGCTATCATCATCGTGATCGCTACATTAGTCAGCCACCTATGTTGTTAGACGCCGACGATGGGCTATGTAGAAAGGTCGGCTGTGTGTAGCTGTGTAGATACGTTTCTAAATATCGCCCAGTGTTTATGCCCAAGTGTGAGAAATAAATGAGAAGCCCTCTACATGTTGTGTCTCGGAAGTCGCTCATTACACTTTGATACTGGCAAGAAAGGTCCCAAGTTAGGTAGATATACACTGGGCTTTTTTTTTATCAACAAAGTCTTAAATCCAAATCAGCATGGTATTCAACTGATATTCTTAGTCTTGTTTTTTTCAGTAAAGTCACGTAGAAGGGAAACAATAAAATAATACAAATATAAAACAATAAAATTATCACGTTTCAACTGCAACACAAGCAATCATCATCAGGTGTGAAAACCACAGCAAGAAAATTTGAAAAAATTGGCGTTTTTAAACGTTAGCACCATGGAGAGCGATTTGGCAGTTATTCAGATGGGCGAGTCCATCTACGTTCGGAAAAGAGGGGGGAGACGAAAATAATGGATGCAGTCTGAAAGCCACTGTAAGCGTGAACAATCAATTAAGACCCGAAATGGTTTATCAAATCCTTCCAATGATTGCTAAGCCAGAATCCATCTTCTCAGTTGAAATTGTCTCTGTGTTTGTATATGTAGATAGCCTCATGAACGAATCTCTCATGGTAGCCAGATGGCTTGCAAAGAACCTCTGTCTTGGAGAAGTCAATGTCATGTGAGCCTACTGAATTATAACAGTGATCTGCCACGGCCGAGGTGTTGGTCCTATCGTGTTTTAGGTCTGCTTTGTGTTCACGAATGCAGTCCGAGACATGTCGTTTGATTTCTCCATCTGAATAACTGCCAAATCGCTCTCCGTGGTGCTAACGTTAAAAAACGCCACTTTTTTCACATTTTCTTGCTGTGGTTTTCACACCCGATGATTGCTTGTGTTGCAGTCGAAACGTCGTGAGAATTTTATTGTTTTATATTTTTATTATTTTATTGTTTCCCTTCTACATGACTTTACCGAAAGAACTAAGAATATGAATCCCTGCAGTCATGAAAGCTTTAAATCAAAATTTTATATTCTTAGTTTAAAAAATCTAAGAATCCTTGTATGGACCTTTTTGACTGCTGATTATTTTTTTGATCAAGAACTCCCACTGGGGTCCAAGGCCTGCTCTTGCACAGCATTTAAATTTTGGAATTTCCTCAACCGATATTAATATTCCAAATTTTCCTTCTGTACCATGTTAAGCCCGTCCTGCAGAATTACGTCTGTCACAAGTGTGAATGGTATAACTAAGCTCCGTCGAAAAAATGTGATTTACTAGCATACGTATGAAATTATTTTTTACACCGTTTTTTACGTGTTAATTATCCTGTTCACAAGTTTTGGCATGGATTTTGTATAAAACAATTGTTGTTTTGCTGTGGTTAGTTTAAACATTCCCACGCTGCAATGCACCATAGCTGCCGCCACTGCCGACGGTCTTGGACTGTGGTCGTTATATTTTTAAAAAGGAGCCGCTTATTAGCTCAATGGCTGAAATAAATTCCCGATTGCAGTCGGCCAAAGACACGCAGAGCTTCTCGCGCAAGTGGCCACGATGTTACAGGTGCGGGAATGCAGAGGGGTTGACGGCGGTCGCATTGGTGGGAAGAGCAGGGGGGTCAACACGGGAGTCCTGGAGGCTGCTGACGGTCGTTGGCGGGTCCACAGCTTCGTAGTAAGCCAGGAACCCCCGGCCGCCCACTGACGCGTCCGAGTGGAACTTCAGCGTCATCATGTTAGCTAGGAGATGCGTAACAACGATATTTAAGAACCACGTTTAAATACGCATGTCACCGAAGGCAATCTCTCCCCAGTGGACACACCGATCAAGGTGGATCCCATGAGCGATAACAAAGTCACAAACCTATTATAATACCTCATATGAGCAAAGTTTTACATGAAGGGAATGAGACGAGTGGTGGTGCAGTGATTAACATATTGTGCTATGAACGTGCCGATCAGAGTTACATTTCAAGTCATGGCTAATGTCAATTAATTGAAAACTCTCGATTGAAAACGAATTTCTTTAGAACTGCTTTTTGATTGAGTTTGTTGTCCTCCTGCACCTCCGATTAGCACAGTTGACTATATACAGTGCGAAACAAGTTCAACATACATACAACATAGAATTGTGAGGGATATCTGAACCACTCCAGGGCTCCTACCTTCCCTACACCAACTAACAGCGACCAGCTTGTTGACAGTCAAACACTCCTCCAATTATTTGATGAATTGACATTATTTAGGGTAAATTTTGACTTCATACTTTCGTGACTGCAGGAATTAATATTCTTTGGTTCGTTCGGTAAAGTCACGTAGATAGAAAAAATAATAATAAAATAAAGTGAATACAACAAAAAATTATAAAAAAATAAAAACAATAATGCACACTCACCCAGCTTAATAACCAGGCTACAGTCTACAATATAGACTGCCAGTACACTCACTCCGATTAAGAACCAGGCTACAGTCTACATTTGTGTTTTATTATTTGTATTTTATTTTTATTATTATTTTCTATCTACGTGACTTTACCGAAAGAACCAAAGACTATTATTCAGATACGATTTCTCGTTTTACTGCATCGTTTGTACAGTATTTTCGACATCGGCTAAAATGTAAGATTGGACAAATGACAAATTGACTTTATGACCGTAATTGAATGCATTATCATACACATACGAATACATTTTTGCCAATACATAAATGCATCACTAAATGCCTAATGACTGACAGGGGGCAATGAGTGAAACAGGTCAATGAAACAGGAACTGCATTCTGCCACTGGCACGTGTAGGTCAAGAGGTCACTACAGTCATAATTTCATTCAGTCATGAGATTTTTATGGAAGATAGTTTTAAGGGGGCCATAAGTCTGTTAGCTCCTTTCCACAACACTGAGCAAATAAATTGCGAGACATGAGAATATAAATCCGTATTGTGATTACAATTAAAATGAAACCCAAGTAATTTACTTATATTGTGGTGGTTGTTTTGTTTTCATGCACGAACCACTTGTGTTTGTGTTCTGTAGCAAAGCTACGGGCGCCAGGGTGGCGAAATGTTATCTCCTTCACCTCGTATACAGGAGGCCGTGGGTTCGATTCTGACCCTTGACGCCTGTAAATTTGTAGTTTGCATATTGTCACCGTGGTTGCATGGATTTTTCTCCGAGGCCTCTGGTTTTTGACTCCACGTTTAGATACATTCTATACATTTCTACATTATAAGCAACTTCGTTGAGTCATCGTTTGTGGCCTGGTCACTTCTGAAAAAGAGTTATATATCTCAGGTGGGCCTTACCTGGTAATTGTTTCTCCAAGCAAATTAATAATATCCTCAACCCAAATGGAATTTTGTGACTTACTGATTAACAGAGATTAACTGTGAAGGTGATGCATTGTATTTAATGCGGTGCATCGAGTTGAAATGTTTAAGTTGCCTGCATGCGTACTAAAGGAGTAATTTAGTTTACTGTTCAGAGACAAACAAAGGTCTATTAACTGCACCACAACCACACGTAATGAGATTGGATGCGTTTTACATGGTTCTTTATCTAGCCAAGGCTCACGGAAGAATCGTGGGTCACCACGGGTTATGAAAATTACTATCAAATGTGTAAATGTGAAGAATTATGGGACGCTCGAACTGGAGATTAGAAAGTCGTGAATTACAGTGTAAAGTATATTATTGTAATAAATATATAATTAATTGGCCCTTGATGTTTCAACAGTGGTGTGTTTGTCCGTGAAAATGACAAAAGACGAAGATACTCACTTGTGCTCACTATTACAGGAGGAAGATCATCTCCACAGAATCTAAACAAATACAAAAAACACACATTTCATCCATTCATGATCTATATTACAAAATAACCAGTGTCATTGTCCAGAATATATAAGCAACAAAACAAATACGAGGACAATACGTGTCCTTCCCATTACTGGTCACTCCACAAAACATAAGTACGTTTTCGGATTCAAAATATTTATTTCTACTGGAGCAATCCGATGAGCTATGAAGCTCTTTTTTTTTCCACAGGATGTCCAGTAGCAGCACAGCCCATCAGCCAGACGGCCCTTCTGGGCATGCAGCACCGATTCAGTACAAGAAAACTCTGGAAGGTTCTCGACAGTCTCAGCAGCAGTCAGGCCCCACCTGAACCGATACCAAGTGAACTGCCAGACGTCCACAGGCAGGGACCTCCTCTGCTAGACATGGACCCCAGTTCAACGTATATGGTAATGCCTCGATATGCGAATACTCGGTATGCGAAGTTCAGTATCACGAACTTTGGATTTGTTACCATTGCAGGCAGTCCCCGAGTTACGGCAGATTCGACTTATGGAAATCCGACTTTACGGAAATGCTCCCATAAATAATGTTAAAAAACTAAAAATGCTGACATGTTTGCGTTAGTTACGTAAGCGCAAATAGTGCAGCGCGGTGAGGTTGTGGATGAATGCCACAAACACTGCCTTCACCTAGCCCCAGCTTCACTAGGATTAAGGTAAATGGAATTTTTGTAGAATCATGTCATTGTTTGTTTTCTATGCTTATAACTATCTTTTATCCCATGCTTCTATTGCTCGTTTTCTTCATTTTAAGTTTATTTCACGAGTTATACACTGTATGTACTTTGTATTTGTGTGCGTGTATGTGAAGTCTAGGCCTAGCCTAATGCACGGTAAACGGACACTCGGAAGTGGCTGCTTTCTGTTGACAATTAATCTTAAAATGTTTCGCGGTATTCATAAACAACTGGATTCAGTATACGTCCCGTTAGTTTAATGATGATAGTGTTGGCATAGATATTCGATGAAATTAAAGAATCATAGAAAGTGCAGAGCGTACGTATAGCAACACGATACAGGTCGCGATAGAAAATGGACATCAGCGTGATGCGGTACTGAGGGAAAACGGTAGGGGAGGCACAACTATTTCCGGCTATGAGTAAAATTGTTCAAGTTTCCGACATACGGAAAATTCGAGTTACGGATCGTTCTGGGGAACCTAACCCTTCCGTTATCCGGGGACTGCCTGTATTTTAAATGGTTAAAAAAAACGTAAGGGAAAATAATAAACACTGAATTCACTAAATAATTAATAAATGCACCCATATCCGATTAACACGGCTGGCTATGTACAATGCGAAAGGTCAACATACACACATTGTTTTATGTCAGTTGTTTTTGTAATACTGTACAATATACAATTACATTATTTTCAATAAAATCGTCTTTGTTTACAAAATTTACGGTAAGTTACTCATAAGTTATTCAATACACGTAGTTTCAATATACAAATTAAGCTCCAGGAACCCATCTACTTCATAAATGTATTACTGTAATACATAATACAAAATAATAATGTGCATTTATGTGGAGGTTATAAGCAATAAAACAAGCTGACAACCATGAAGCTGTCGGGATGAATAATATTACTTTCGATTTATGTAGGGGGACAGATGCGGTAAAGTATGTTCTGCCTTTGTCATTTAAGCTCTAGATCAGTCTAAAGCCCATTAAAACCATTTCCCCTTCTGAGACGACTGCAATTGCAGGGTGGGTGTCAAGTTCACCGCTGAATCTTGGAACGTGCCGGCGGTTCAGCATTATCTTATTTACAGAGGTGTAGTATCACCGCTGTTTTTAAAGACATTGGACCACCGCAAAGAACTGTAGCGACACGATCGCACCCTACGATAGCGGGCGCCAAACGGTGCCACATGCCCTCCCGCATGGCCTTGCGGGAGCCTCGGTAGAGATAGTTATTTATCTTACACGTACGTTATCGGAACAGAATCGGAAGGGTTAATTTATAACCCCCCGGAGTGTTCAATATTAAGTCCAAATCAGTGACGAATTATTCTCACTTCCAAACCAATGCTCAATGGAGCATTGAGGTGCTCATCTCCTGTGTACAGTCCTGAGCTCGTGGTGGAAATTCCCGTGCTGGGGGTGAGTATCCATGGGAAAACTACTCGAGTTCGTGCAATGTGGTACTCATTTTTGATACAATGTGAAATTGATTCGGCTTTACAAGCTCACGGTGTCAGATCCCCCACTTTTTTTTCTTTCAAACTGAAAATGTTTTATTCGTGAATGTTGATTCATTAGAGGACTGTTTTACAGTTCAATTAAAGTTAGAATAAATCATTTTATAAATAAATAAAACTATTGAAAATAGGGCCAACTCAAGATAGTCAATATTTTTTGCTTTTTTAATACGGGCGCTACAGTGGCGAGATGTTAACCACATCGCCTGGTATACAAGGTGCCATGGGTTGGATCCCATGGTATATTGTATACATTTAGAGTATTTGGTTGTGATAAATGTCCACATAAGCCACTCGGACCGCATTCGTGAACATAAAGCAGACCTTAAACACGGTAGGACCAACACCTCGGCCGTGGCTGATCATTGTTATAATTCAGTAGGCTCACATGACATTGAATTCTCCATCTGGCTACCATGAGAGATTTGTTCATGAGGCTATCCACATATACAAGCACAGAGACAATTTCAACCGAGAAGATGGATTCTGGCTTAGCAATCATTGGAAGGATTTGATCAACAATTTCAGGTCTTAATTGACTGTTCACGCTTACGGTGGCTTACAGACAGCATACATTAATTTTTCGTCTCCCCCCTCCTCTTTTCAGAACATAGATGGACTCGTCCTTCTAAACAAACTGCCAAATCGCTGCCCGTGGTGCTAACGTTTTTAAAAAATAAATAAATACAAACACCGTTTAAAAATAAATAAATGCAAACCGCCACTTCTTTCAAATGTTTCTTGCCGTTGGTTTTTTCACACCTGATGATGACCGTTTGTGTTATGGTCGAAACGTCGTGATAATCTTTATTGTTTTATATATATTTTATTATTTTATTGTTTCCCTTCAACGTGACTTTACCTTCGTTGAGCTATAATTTGTGACCAGGTCTCTGCATATCTTAGTGCGCCTTACCTGGTAAAATAATAAAATATTTAACAGCTTAATAGTAAACATTTCATGAGTACAGTGGCAGGGCCACTACTGGCAGAAGGACCTCCACTCTCGAAGTCCCTCCCAGTAGGTATTTCGACCTTCTGTTACTTTTTTGCCAGACGTCTTGGAAGTGGTGAGAATTACCCACACTTTACATCACCATACATGACCTGCTAATTGACCAACTGTGGTGTACAGTTATTGGGGATATGATAAAAATCTGACGTCGTTTCAACTGCAGTGCCAAAAGGGATTGAGCTGGCGAGCTCTGGGATGGTACGTGGTGTCATGACGGGAACCGCAAGATCCGACCATATCCACCTGTGCTCGCCGAGCAACATTGGCTTACGAGTTTCCGAACGAATACAAAATAAGGTCACGCTCATTACACACGTACCTTGCTGATTTTATCAAGGCGCATAAACCATCACGTCAACTCCAGTCATCTTCACAGTGGCTTTTGACTAACCATCCAACAAAGACGGTTTGGCCACTGTAACGCGCGTTCGGATGCACTTCTGCGGCCGTCTGGAACGCTTTTCCTTCCGATATTCGGAAGCCACTGGAGCTATGCACTTTTACATCATCGAGACTGAAAACGTATTTGTTGAGAACTGCTTTTTTGTGTTTAGATTGTTGTCCTTCCCCCGCACCTCCGATTAGCATGCTTGTCTACATATGATACGAAAGAAGTTCATACATGTGTAGTGACATAGCGCTGACGGTTGGACTGCAGCTGCTGCCCAACATATACGTGGGTGAGCCGGCAGGACGGAGGAACTGGGGCAAGGGTCATGGTAGACCTCGTGTGGAAGCCCCTGGAACCCTCTGGAGGGTTCGAGAAGGGACGCGCGGCTAGGGTGGAGCAAGCCGCGCCAAAGGGAATATAAGCAGCGGAAAGCGAGAGCTCCGGGCTGCCGGTTCTGGCATTGGACTCTTCCCGTCATCACTGTCGCCGCCCTCGTCACTACCACCTTCGCCCGATCCTTCTGCGGCCAGACAGTAGTTGGCTGTCCCGGTCGACACCGTCGGTACAACGCGGACAGGGTCATGTCTGGGACGGGTCGTGCGGCAGCGGGGTCGCGTGTGAGAGAGAGAGGGGGCCCAAGTGGTGGCGTGGGCTCGGCAACAACAATAAAAGGGGAGGACGGTGCCTCCTGCGACCACCTCGTCTCCGACTGACTGCGTGTGCGACGCACCCCACCTGCACGCACAGACGACACTACACAAACTTACAACTACCTCGCTTGGTATACGGAGATTGTGGTTTCAATCCGGACCCTGACGCCTGTATATTTGGAGTCTGCATGTTCTCCCCATGGTAGCATAAACTTTTTCCCTGGGTCCTCTGGTTTTTTCCTTCCACATTTAGAAGCAACGTGCATTTAGAGTACCGTATTTTCCCGCATATAATCCGCGGGGTATACCACTTTTTACAAACAAAACAAGACCCTGCGGGGTATATGGAGGTGCCGGCTATCGCAAAATATTTTACACGTGTGACATGTTGTAACTCGTCAAATGTTTTCATGGTAGGACTATCCACTATGCAACACTTACCTTTGACTAAAGCACTGCTGAATAAACCACTCACACTAAATGGGGGGTTGGGGGCGAGGCGACAGCGTTACCGTAGTGCCGCTATTACCTGCGCAGTGCGCAATCTACCAGTGCTAAAACTGTACTTACTTATCTGTGTTACTTATTTATTGGATATTTACTTTTGTTACTTATTTACTGTTTTAAGTTCACTCGTTTCCGGTTAGTTTGTTTTCTTTGTGCACGTTATGATTTAAATGTTAACAATTGATAGTGGAATGTATGACAAGTGTAAACTTCGTATTAATATGATGGAATTAAGCTTCGGTAACGATGTTAAAGATATGAATGCATGCGGGGTATATGGAGGTGCGGGCTATCCGAAATTTGTTTCCACATGCTATTTTTGCGGGGTATATGCGTCTGCGGGTTATATGCGTATGCGGGCTATATGCGGGAAAATACGGTATTTGGCTGCTATAAATGTCCACATAAGCCGCTTTGTTGAACTATTATTTGTGATCGCCAGGTTGCTTATGAAAAACAGCTATATACAGAATGTGTATGCTCTGACTTCAACGTAACTATTTCTGTAGCAGTTACAAGCGAATCACTCAGCCATTTCAATGCTAAATTCTATGCTAATCCCATTATCAAGGGGTGCCTCTGCGGATGTGTATGCCTTAATTTAGCTATTTCAATGCTAAATTCTATGCTAATTCCTTTTAACAATGGGTGCCTCTGCGGATGTGTATGCTTTAACTTTTAACATAGCTATTTCTGTGACCAGTCACAAGCTAATCATTCAGCCATTCCAATGCTAAATTTTATGCTAATTCCTTCGTCAAGGCTCTTTGTTCCTCTCACACAGCTTAAAAGCCGTGATCTGAACGTGGCTCTCTCACTCCAGCGCTGTCCTACCAGACAGTCTCGCTCCCTTCACCTGATGAAGGCCGCTTGTGTTGTGGCCGAAACGTCGTGAGAATATTATTGTGTTATTTTATTTTATCAATTTATTATTTTATTCTCATTCTACGTGACTTTACCGAAAGAACCAAAGAAGAAAAATAAAACAATATTTAAGTTTTTTTTTTATTAAGCAGTGGCGGGAACACGTCTCCAGCTGTACCTGTCGATGAGTCCGGACACGTCCTCGTAGCTGTCATAGACCTCCAAGAAGTCGGCGAGACACCCTTTGTCTCGCTCAAGGTCGAAGTCCAGGAAGGAGAGGCGGACACGCTTGCTGACCGGTACGCGTATGGTCCACACGCAGCTCCTGAGCGCCGCGTAGCCCGGGTAGTCTGGCGAGCTGAGGTTCAGCGCCGTCTCCATGTGCCTGCCTCCGCACGTCCCCACTGCCATCCATGGCGGACGCATTCGTATGTAAATTAAGGGACCCGCAATTGGAAGGCTAATGGCTTCGTCATTAGCGCCGCTTGGTAAAAATCGGGGATGCAGGCCTCACTTAATATTCTACTGAACGCTGCCAGGCCGGCTTTGAGAAGGGATTATCAGTGTAAGGCACTACAACTAGAATACAAGTTATGCCTATCCGTAATAATCACACGTTCACGTCAATAACACTGCCAAGTAAAAATGTATAATAGGTGATGTTTTAGGTGATGGACCTTCTTCAAAGCTCATTGATTTGCTACATCATGGGCCCTCCTTTGCTGTTCGCCTTTTGGCGTCCTCTGGTCTAACACTGTTTGAGACTAGGCTCTAAAGAAAGCTGTCTCTGGTGTGGACCAATCAGTTTCAAAGACAACGCATGTACTGTCAGAGCATGTTTTTGTTTCTATTTTCACCACAAGTATGTGTGGTTAATGCAGACGTGATTCCTTGCAAAAGGTTTTAGTTTGGTGTTTTAACATCTTAACACTTGTTTTATTGCCAGAAAAAGGGGAAAACCTATTCTTATCTCATTTTATTTCTTCTTGTGGTAAGCACGCAAGCCCAGTACAACGAGCGGGTGGTTTCAGGGTAGGAAAAAGGACTTTCGGTGCTTTCTCATTTGATTTTTTTTTATTGTTTTTGGGGCAGTATTACGGACAAATTTGTTGAGTTAGTGTCATTTGCACATACGCACCAATGTAGCGTATTACGAAAACGTCGTTCAATTTTCTATTTTGACAGGCACAGCAGCGGCACTTAGAGGCGGGACAGGGGGGTGGCACCACCTTTCCTCCTGTAGCAGTAGGCGTCCCAGCGCTCTGAGCGGTTGAGTCGCACGCCGTAGTCTACGACGCCAACTATGCCGTTACTGCACTTTTGGCTCGCCTTGGTGACGGGGTAGGCGACCCGCGCGTCGGCCAGCCAGCCGGCCACACAGTTGTGCAGGCCTGGACACACGGACACACGCATGCCGTCACTCCATCTAGGCTCGAGGACATTATCTCAGCTCAGCTCTGTTCCTTCACCTGAGCCGCAGGTCCTGGACCAGGCTTTAAGGTATGTGGTTTCACAGACAAATGATGCGGGGATGGGGGGAGTTAGGAAAATATGTTATTAGTATTTGGTGGTCTGAACAATGGTTTGGAACCACTGGACTAGATCTGATTTTGACTGGCCTGGAGGAAGCTGGCCTCAACCTCAGCCTTGAGGCTCCTGGCCTTAAATCCAAGAAAACATCGAATACACAAAATGCTCAGTGATCGTGCCACGAAGAATTGTTTTTGCTTTGGCAGCATTAATAGAAAAAACAGACAACTCTAGCGGAGTTAAATACATATTTAATTACAATTTTCCATGTAAAAAGACCAACGGAAATGGTTTGTTTAAAGTGACAGCCGAGATGTGACGCCATCAGTTGAGGCGATTGAATGTTTTGTCCTAGTGAGCTGCTATTGAGGGGACCCCCCCCCCCCTCACAGCCACCTGGCCACAACTTTTGAATATCCGAGAAGAAAACCCCCCCCATCATTTCCCTTTGGTGGTTTCAAACTGGAATGCACGTCGGTGGAGAACAGCAGATGCGTGGGGTTGGCGTTGCCAGACCAGCGCGTTGAGCCTCCCGCAGTTGCGCGATGGTGGCCAGGGCCCCGCCCTCGTAGGCGCAGATGGCGCGGGCCTCCCGCAGGGAGAGGAGATAGCGGCCATGCCGGGAGTGGATGTGGAAGACGCCCGCTGCCTCCTCTGTATGCAACAAAACACACACGCATGCGTCTGTGAGTTTTTGTCTTTGTGTGCCCCCACAGGCCCATGTGGGGGTGGGGAGCGATAGTGTAGCAGTTAGCGCACTGCACTAAGAACACTCCGACCTGAGTTCAATTCTCACGGCTAACACCAGTGACGATTATCTGAACTGGTCATGGGTCTCCGCTAGGTCGACTCAAATGAGTACCGAGTGTGGTGTGTAAACGTCGCCACTCGGGAAACAAAGGCGGCCTGACGTGGTGCTGACCACCTCGTGCGCCGTGTTGGCCTTCATTGGCTCTACCTTGCTAACAGCTCTTGCCCAAGAGCCTGCTTAGGCTAGAAGGGGGATGTTCATCTTGGAATGGAGCACTGTTCTCGATTGAGTACAGTACTGTAATAGTGACTTACTGTCGTGAGAGATTGAACCGGTTAATCCGGTAACTGATTCACGGGTTCCCCACACCCCCCCCCCCAAATCTCCTCCCAAAAATGCGTGATAGTACATTTGGGAAATTACATCAACATATGCTAAATTGGCTTCGACTTTTTCAGCTTCATTTTTAGTTCTAGAAAATGAAACGGTTCGTAGCAAGTTTTTCCGTTTCAGGGTTAACGTTCCATTTCCCGTGTCTATGAACTCGTGAGTGCGGTTACCCAGATGCCGCTGACGCCCGGGGTATACCCGTTATCGTACCCAGCAACACGGAGTTATGCCACACGTCATCTCTGAAGGCCCATCCGTGGGCCTCGCCAATCCAGCCCAACAGGGCGCACGCCAGCCACATCACCATCCGCACGTCCAGCCACGCCAACGTCCGCACCGTCCGCATGGTCCAGCAGATGTCCCGAGAGGCAGTCCCCCCCCCCACCCTGTGTATACACAGATTGAACACTCGTTTCTTTACGACTGCATGTTGTTAGGTTTGTTGTCCCCACCTCCCGCTCCTCCGATAAGCGCGATTGGCTATGTACGGCGCAAAAGAAGTTCAACGTACAGCACACAGAGGCACCTGCGTACATATGTAGTGGGTTCCAGGAGACCGGAGGCAGAGTACTTGAGGCAACACGTTTATTTACTAATTGTGGAATACACGGTCCCTAACACAGAGGGGTAACGGCCCCTCTACCCGATACCTAGGGAGGTATGGCCTCCGGGCTAGCGTGTCCTATCACTGGGACCACACTCACAATTCCTCTGGCTAAGGGGACCTAAGGGAAGGCTCCCTGACCCGACCCAGCCAAGGTCCTTGTGTCTCGACCACTGGCCCACTCGGTCCAGGTCCTTACGAGGACGTCGGGTCCCGGGAGTTCCCAGGGTCCCACCACTGGCCCTCTGCAGTCTCGGCTCTTACAAGGACTTCGGGACTGGGGGTTCCCAGAGTCCTAGCCTAAGCTGGCCTGCTTGCTTCAGCTTCACGGAGACTGCCAGACTCGTCCAGAGGTCTGGCTTTTATACCCGTGCCCGGGTCTCTCCACCCCTGGCCACGCCCTCCTTCTGGAACTCTCTAGGGGGCTCTGGAGTAACCCCCCCAACCCCTCTCTTGGGGCTGGGAGAGCCTCGTGTCCCAACGGCTCAGCTCATCCTGCCCATCCCGTGTTACCACCCCCTATGGACACCTGTCTGCTACTACAGGTAAGTGTGTATAACAATGTTATATACAATGCCCAAAAAAAACAAAGGCATAAGGTAGGGATAGGGACCGTAACTTCAGGCAAATGCTGTTTCATACCTAGCAACAAAAGACGTACTTTATATGTATAGAAATGCAGGTACCATACTAGATTGTATTTTACATAATGTACACATTCATAAACAGCATTTCTATGTTAAATGAAACAGCGTTTTTTATTTTACCTTCACCTATAATTTACCAACCCTCAAATTATTTTCCTCAGTTTTTTTCTGGAATTTTTTTTTCAGCATCTACAATCGGATAAAGAAGCTCCCTCGAGATGTCCATTTTGTAGAAGTAAAAACTTTATTTTTAATATCAACGTATTTACAACTTCGAGCGTAATTACATTTCTGCTCTTAATTACTGCCCCGATGTTGTCCACCTTGTTGTTCACGACCAGTCAGCCCCGATGTTGTCCACCTTGTTGTTTGCGACCAGTCACCCCGATGTTGTCCACCTTGTTGTTCGCGACCAGTCAGCCACGATGTTGTCCACCTTGTTGTTCGTGACCAGTCAGCTCCGATGGTATCCACCTTGTTGTTCGCGACCAGTCAGCCCCGATGTTGTCCACCTTGTTGTTCGCGACCAGTCAGCCCCGATGTTGTCCACCTTGTTGTTCGCGACCAGTCAGCCCCAATGTTGTCCACCTTGTTGTTCACGACCAGTCAGCCCCAATGTTGTCCACCTTGTTGTTCACGACCAGTCAGCCCCTATGTTGTCCACCTTGTTGTTCACGACCAGTCAGCCCCGATGTTGTCCACCTTGTTGTTCACGACCAGTCAGCCACGATGTTGTCCACCTTGTTGTTCGTGACCAGTCAGCTCCGATGGTATCCACCTTGTTGTTCGCGACCAGTCAGCCCCGATGTTGTCCACCTTGTTGTTCGCGACCAGTCAGCCCCGATGTTGTCCACCTTGTTGTTCGCGACCAGTCAGCCCCAATGTTGTCCACCTTGTTGTTCACGACCAGTCAGCCCCAATGTTGTCCACCTTGTTGTTCACGACCAGTCAGCCCCTATGTTGTCCACCTTGTTGTTCACGACCAGTCAGCCCCGATGTTGTCCACCTTGTTGTTCACGACCAGTCAGCCCCAATGTTGTCCACCTTGTTGTTCGCGACCAGTTAGCCCCGATGTTGTCCACCTTGTTGTTCACGATCAGTCACCCCTATGTTGTCCACCTTGTTGTTCACGACCAGTCAGCCCCTATGTTGTCCACCTTGTTGTTCGCATAAGGCAGCAGACATCGTTCCTGCTCGCAGCAGACACCGCGGCTATCGCGATTTTCACCTGAAGACGGGCGCTTGTGTTGCGTTCGAAACGTCGTGATTTATTTAGTTGTATTTCTACCTACGTGACTTTACCGAAAGAACCAAAGAGTATTCAACCTTGTTGTTCACGACCAGTCAGCCCCGATGGTGTCCACCTTGTTGTTCGTGACCAGTCACCCCGATGTTGTCCACCTTGTTATTCGTGACCAGTCAGCCCCGATGGTGTCCACCTTGTTGTTCACGACCAGTCAGCCCCGATGGTGTCCACCTTGTTGTTCATGACCAGTTGGCCCCGATGTTGTCCACCTTGTTGTTCGTGACCAGTCACCCCGATGTTGTCCACCTTGTTGTTCGTGACCAGTCAGCCCCGATGTTGTCCACCTTGTTGTTCGTGACCAGTCAGCCCCGATGGTGTCCACCTTGTTGTTCACGACCAGTCAGCCCCGATGGTGTCCACCTTGTTCGTCAATTAATTCCTGAATCACCGCCCCGACCGCGGGCCTCACTTCCCCTTATATATCCGCTCGACCCCGTACCTATCGGACAGCCCCCCCCACCTCTACTATGGTACATGTGTTCTTATTAAAGAATCTAATGCCTTCCGGCCACCTTTTCATAATCATCTCGGCGCGCAGCCTCTAGCACTCTCTCTTTACGGCCCCCCACACCTGTGTATAAATTCATTACCGTTCTTGAAGCTACATCGCGTGCCTTGTTATCTGCAAAAAAACATCCATGGGCAGAACCTTGAATGGTTTCTCTTTTGCCGCTTATTCCTCTCCCACACCCTCCCCTCCTTCTTCACGTCCCTCATACAGGCTCATGAGCTCTTCTCCTGAATGAGGGGGGCTTAAGATGATCGACGTGTTCTTCTTGTTGCAAGATCCTCGATGCATCACGCCATTAATTGGTCCATTCCCCCCCCCCACCCCCATGATAACACATTATTAGTCGTGTAATTTTAATCCCCATAATGCTTTTTAAAAAAGCACACTTAGCTTTTACTTTCCTTCTAATCGCCATTGATCACTACCGGACGTGTACACCTAGCAGGAGGTTCAAATGGAGCCCAACATAAATGCATAGCTGTCAAGCCCTTATCAGCAGTGTCCTACCTTATTAGACCTTATTGGTCACCCCGTGCCCTAATAAATCTCAACGTTCATACTACAAAGTCACATCACAGGGGAGAAACACAAACGAATAGACAAAAAAAAGTAGTTGTCTTTGCCCGTACGGACCCGAAAACTCAATTTCCCTGTCCAGAAATACCTTGCACTGTCGTCTGGTTAGGGGCCAGAGCATGGACGAATGTCAAAGCAGAGCCTTTATAACTACAGTAAATATTAAAAAAGTACATGCAAATAACAAGCATTTCTTGCAAATTGAGAACCTTATGGGTTCTTTAGCTTTACTATCGCCACACTTAGGACCCATTATGAATATATTAAAGCACAAAAAGAAGTATTTAGGGGTCGTCCATAAATGATGTCACGCACCTGGGGGGGGGGGGGGTCAGACATTTGTGACGATGTGTGACGAGGGGGGGGGGGGGGGTTGAGAAATGTGACGTCACATCAAAATGCGCACCTTTAAAAATAGACAACACGTTCTACTTAATTAAATAGACTTTTTAATAAATGTTTTCTCCTACGTCATCAGAGTGCAGCGCCACATTAAATACGCACGACAATGACAATAGCTTAAAGCGATTTGAAGCATGTTTTTTTTTGGGGGGGGGGCGAGTTTTGTGACGTCATATTTTATAGGGGGGGGGTCTGACTTTTTGTGAAGCCGTGTGACGAAGGGGGGGGGGTCAAAAATCGTCCAAAATCGCGTGACGTCATTTATGGACGGCCCCTAAACAATAATCACAAAAATAAGCACAGTATGAATACTGTACACGTGTTTTATAATCACGAAAATAACTACGAACGCTGTAGTATTATACTGTTGTCACAAAAAATAAACTATTAATTGTGTACAGTAATAATCACAGAAATAAGCGCAGCGTTGATAATATCTGATTAAACACAAATATAAGAGATGCTCACTGAACGGATTCTATTCAAAGGCTGAACGAAAAAGATGGCGCGTGGCGCGAATGCCGAGGAAGGTTCGGGATGAAATCGGACGAGAGAGGAAAGCCGCGTGGACGAAATTTGAAATGTGGTTATGGTTGAAAACGGCCGAAAGAGCGAAGCGACTAAAGTCAAGGTATCGCTGTACAAGAATACGGGGTAAACCGTGTGGGTTGACAGATATATGTCAACGGCACGGTTCACCTTCTCACCCCCACTACGCTTTCACCATTGTTATTACACGCTTTTATTTAACTCACTCTGTCTGTTGTTGTTGTTGTCGTGTCCTCAAATCTTGTAACTCAATTATAACCCACTTCCCAATGTGGTGTCGACTGCAAACTTGGTATACTTATGTCACACTGATGACAATGCTATATTCTATCCAAACAAATATTTTTAAACATTATTTTTTATATGTTATGCTTCGGCTTGGGTCTAATTGTCCACGCCCAACTGACCTTGGCTGTAAATCAGCACGGTCCCCCTTACGTTGTGGCAAGCTTCGGGCCCACTTCCTGGAGTCGTGGAGTTCTGCCATTACTCGTACGGTACATTTCATTAAAGCGTGTTTTAAAAAAAAAAGTATTTTTAAATATTACTTATTAACATCGAGCCTAAATCCTCTCCGCGTTTCGTTCCTACGCGTCACCACCTGCACGTGTCGTCACAAGGCACCAACGAATGGTGGTTGCTGCCCCACCCCCCACCCCTCACCCCACCTATCGAAAATTTTGCGACGATATTTTTTTTTTTACAGAGAATCCACGTCGACCCTACAATGGAGCACTCACGCCTCGCACGCCGGAGAGCAAACCACGTGGTGGGTAACCCAGAAGATGGGCGGCACGTGCGCAAGTTGTACACTACCTCTATGCACCCTACCCAACCCCCCCCACAGAGCCGAGTAGAGTCGAAAATGATTGACATGTTTTAGTGGCATACCCCAAGTATGTACAGTATGTGAAAGGGATTCCACCCGAATCGCCCTGATCAGCAATGTACACTGAGTAACAGAGACAAAAATCCCCCCTATAGACTTTAACAGACGCTTGTGGCAAGTGCTGTTGGCGAGCAACCTATGAAGGCCCGGCACACCTAGGTGGTGGGTGGTAAGCACCACGACCCGGCCCGCCTTTGTCTCCCTCATTTAAGGCCGAGTCGACCTACGGGAGGGTCCAGAACCGGTTCAGATTATTCGTCACCTGGTGTTGGCCCGTGAGCGGGAATCGAAGTCGGGTCGTCGGGCTTGTAGCGCAGCAACTAACTGCTACGCACGATGTTTTCGACTCGGCTCAGCTGAACAGTCAAAAAACGATGTCATAAAAACACAATGACCTTTCCGCCAGCATTCAAGTATGGACAAATAGGCGTAGGTTTCGTAGCTGCTCACGCCGAGCTAGAAATGCTCTGATAGTGCAATTGTCTTTGTGCTGTTGGCCTTTTGGCGTTCTCTGGCCTGACTGGTGAGACTGGGCCGTACAGAAAGCCGTCTCTGGCGTAGGCCAATCAGTTTAAAAGACGATGCGTATATTATCATCCGAGCATGTTTGTGTTGCATGATTTGCCACAAAGTGTGGTGAACGCAGACTTAAAACCTTGCAAAAGGTTTCTATTTTGTGTTTGAACATCTGAACACCTCCTTTTCTATTGCCAGAAAGGGGTAAAACTCATTCTCGTTTTGTTCATACGACGTAATTATAAGCGGGGAAGTGTTACGTTGTGTTCCTGAAAAAAAAACGGCGACGTAAGTGCTAGACAACGTAAGTGCTAGACAACGTATATCGAGACGACGCATATCGGGGACTGCCCCTCCCCGCCGTACCTATGTGATGTGTGTCGTGCATCGGCAAGCGCGCTGCACTACGAAACCCACCCAGCGGCCATGAGTTCCATTCCCGCTCACCGTCAACACCAGTGACGATGATCTTAACCGTGCCTGGGATTCCCCCTAGGTCAACTCGGCCTCAAAAGGAGTACAGTACCTGTTGCGGTGTGTAGATATCGCCACCAGGGAGACAAAGGCGGGCGGGCGGGGGGGCGTGGTGGTGGCCACCCACCCCTCGCTTGCCGTGCCGACCTTTATAGGTTCTCGGTAACAACACTTGCCCCAACAGTCTGTTAAACGCTATACGGGGAATCTTTGTAACTGTGTACATGTGTGTCCGTGTACCTGTGTGTGTTTGTGTACCCGTGTGTGTCTGTGTACATGTGTATCTGTGTGTGTGTACCTGTGTGTGTCTGTGTACCCGTGTGTGTCTGTGTACCTGTGTATGTGTACCTGTGTGTGTCTGTGTACCTGTGTATGTGTACCTGTGTGTGTCTGTGTACCTGTGTATCTGTGTGTGTGTGTACCTGTGTGTGTGTACCTGTGTGTTTGTGTACCCGTGTGTGTCTGTGTCTGTACCTGTGTATCTGTGTGTGTATACTTGTGTGTGTCTTTGTACCTGTGTGTGTCTGTGTACCTGCGTGTGTCTGTGTACCTGTGTATCTGTGTGTGTGTGTACCTGTGTGTCTGTGTACCTGTGTATCTGTGTGTGTGTACCCGTGTGTCTGTGTACATGTGTATCTGTGTGTGTACCTGTGTGTCTACCTGTGTGTGTCTGTGTACCTGTGTATCTGTGTGTGTGTACCTGTGTGTGTCTGTGTACCTGTGTATCTGTGTGTGTGTACATGTGTGTGTCTGTGTACCTGTGTATCTATGTCTGTGTACCTGTGTGTGTCTGTGTACCTGTGTATCTGTCTGTGTACCTGTGTGTGTCTGTGTACCTGTGTATCTGTGTGTGTACCTGTATGTGTCTGTGTACCTGTGTATCTGTATCTGTGTACCTGTGTGTCTGTGTACCTGTGTATCTGTGTCTGTGTACCTGTGTGTGTCTGTGTACCTGTGTATCTGTGTCTGTGTACCTGTGTGTATGCATGCTTGTACCTAAGCGAAGTGTGTCTGTGAACATGTTTGTCGTTGTATACGGAAACCTGTGTACTGTACATGTGTGTTCCCGCGTACGTATGTGCATGTGTGTACCTATGTGTGTGTGTACGTACCTCAAGGTGTGCGTGACAGGCGCACGAGTGTGGCGGACACGATCTATGTAATGTTTGCTGTGTGCGCGGCAGTGCACGATGGAGGCTGGAGAGAGGGATGTTTGTGTGTGCCGGGTACACGGGATGTGCGCATTTCCATTCCCAAATCAGCCTTGGGGGCGATAGTGGGGGGAGGAGGGGGGATAGTGGGGGGAGGAGGGGGGATAGTGGGGGGAGGAGGGGGGATAGTGGGGGGAGGAGGGGGGATAGTGGGGGGAGGAGGGGGGATAGTGGGGGGAGGAGGTATCCGTGTACCTTTGTGTATGCACGTTCGTACCAAAGCGACTGTGGCTCATGCAGCTGCAATGGCTGCTTTGGGTACACGGTCCAGACCTCCCCAGAGACCCTGGCTGACAGAGGAGATGTTCAGGATGGCTGAGAAAAAGCGACAGGCCCACTCTCTTCGGCTACAGCATCCCACGTCGGAGAATGAGGAGGCTTACCGTAGCCTTCGCTCGGAGGTTCGGAGAGCCGTGAGGCGTTGCAAGGATGGGTGGTGGTCGCGGGTTGCTGAGATGGAATCTGCCTCAATGACCCGCGATCACAAATCGCTCTTTCATTCCATCAAAAAAGTAACCTGCAGCGCCACACCTATTACCATCATTAGGGGAAAGAACGGTGATCCAATCTCCGACCCCCAGGAACAGGTTTGCAGATTTGCTGAGCATTTATGTGAGGTCCTGGGGGATGGGGACATTCCTCAGCCTGTAAAACATCATGGGACAAAGTGGGGATGACCCTGCTGAGGCTGCGGTGCCTCAAATATTGGAGTAAGTCACCCCCTGTGAGTGTCTGGCTGATATGCCATCTGTTGAGGAAGTACTGAAGGCGATCCAGAGTCTGAGACCAGGAAAGGCACCGGGCAGAGATGATCTCCCAAGCGAAATGCTGAGGGAGGGTGGCGTTTGTGCACAGACTGCCCTATATGACATCATAACAACAGTCTGGACCACTGGACGGGTTCCGCAGGACTGGAAGGATGCCCTGGTGGTCCTCCTCTTTAAGAAGGGGGACCGCACAGACTGTAACAACTACAGGGGCATCTCACTCCTCAGTGTGCCAGGAAAGGTCCTGGCAAGGATTATTCAACATCGCCTTCCTTGGCACGCTGAGGATATGCTTGCGGAGCCCCAATGCGGTTTCAGGAAAGGGCGGTCCTGCACAGATGCCATATTTTCTGTCCGTCTGCTACAGCAGAGGTGTAGGGAATTTCAACAAGACCTACATCTCTGCTTTATTGACCTGGTCAAGGCCTATGATGCCATCAGTAGGCCTGGGCTTTGGGTTGTTCTTCGTGCTTTCGGAGTGCCTGACCCTCTGCTCACGATCATCATTAAGGACCTTCATGAAGGTGAGCGGGCCCGGGTAAAACTACATGGCCTGGAGTCAGAGCCATTCCCTGGACACCTTGGGGTGCGACAGGGATGTCCTCTGGCTCCCACATTATTTGACATCTATTTCGACCACGTAGTTCGTGAAGCCTTCAATAGCTGTACCAGAGGAATTTCCATCTGGTACAGATACAATGGGAGGCTGATCGATGCCCGGGTACGGTCAAGGGATGACTCCCTATTGCTCAACCATGTTATGTATGCCGATGATCTGGTAATTGCTGCTCACTCAGAGGAGGAGTTGGAGACGCTGCTGCTGAACCTGGAGCTTGCCACTAAGAGGTGGTGGGGTATGCAAGGCTGCGTTGGCTGGGCCATGTAGCCCGCATGCCCATCCACCACATGCCCAGCCACCGCATGCCTAAACAGCTTTTGTTCGGCCGGATCGAGGGTGCGAAACGGACACGGCACGGGCTGGATAAGAGATGGAGTGATGTGGTACAGGAGGATGTGGAGCTGAGTGGACTTGCCGGTGACTGGTACCAGCGGTGTCAAGATCGGCCTCAGTGGAGGAGGCTCGTGAAGGATGCTACTGGGCAGTTGGAGGCAGTCGCCCTCCAAAAACAACGGAGGGCGGAGGAGCGACGCTCACAACAACGAGCGGAGCGCCGGGTGGCTAAAGCACAGTAAGTTGGCACAGTAGGGGGCACAGGTGGTGCATCAGCCAGTTATCTCAGTCATCTCAGTCAGTCGACCCGTGGCACCTGGATCTGCCCCGTGACCTCCTGCCAGCGGACGTTCGACACTTCACGTGGCCTCAAGGTGCACATAGCCTGGCACAAGCGTCGTGGTGCCGTCCCTGCCACTTAGTGGCGAATGGCGATTGTTGTTGTTTTATCCGTGCACCTTCGTGAATGCACGTTCGTACATAAGCGAAGTGTGTCTGTGAACCTGTTTGTCTTTGTATACATATAACCTGTGTACTGTACATGTGAGATTATGGTGTGTTCCCGCGTACGTATGTGCATGTGTGTACCTATGCGTGTGTGTACGTGGCTGTAGGTGTGCGTGACAGGCGCACGAGTGCGGCGGACACGATCTACGTAATGTTTGCTGTGTGCGCGGCAGTGCACGATGGAGGCTGGAGAGAGAGCGAGAGAGTGAGAGGGATGTTTGTGTGTGCCGGGTACACGGGATGTGCGCATTTCCGTTCCTAAATCAGCCTTGGGGGCGGTAGTGGGGGGAGGAGGGGGGGGCGGTAGTGGGGGGAGGGGGGCGGTAGTGGGGGGAGGAGGGGGGGGCGATAGTGGGGTATGGGGGGCAATAGTGGGGGATGGGGGGCAATAGTGCGGGGATAGTGGGGGGGAGGGTGGGGGCGATAGTGGGGGGTGGTGGGGGGTGAGTGGGGGACGATAGTGGGGGCGAGGGTGGGAGGGCGGTAGTGGGGAGGGTGGGGGGTGATAGTGGAGGGAAATAGTGGGGGGGGGGGGAGAGTGGGTGGGGCGATAGTGGGGGGGAGTGGTGGCGATAGTGGTGTGGGGGAGGTTGGGGGGCGAGTGGGGGCGATAGTGGGGGGTGGTGGGGGGCGATAGTGGGGGGTGGTGGGGGGCGAGTGGGGGGCGATAGTGGGGGGGAGGGTGAGGGGGGCGATAGTGGGGGGGGGGGGGGGAGTGGTGGCGATAGTGGTGAGGGGGAGGTTGGGGGGCGATAGTGGGGGGGGGGGGGAGGGTGGGGGGGCGATAGTGGGGGGGAGGGTGGGCGGGGCGATAGTGGGGTGGGGGGAGGCGATAGTGGGGGGACGGTGGGGGGCTCAAATTATGTTGTAATAATTTATTTGCATGGACCACGATACAGCATGGTCCAGATGTCTTGACCCCGAATTGATGGACCGTATAAAAAATTTACTTTGCATATTGCGTTGCGTTTTTTCCCCTTCCCCCTCACACCTCCGTTTGGTTACGTACGGTGCGAAAGAAGTTCAACGTACATCTTAATGAATCGTGTGTTCAAGGTGTTCCATCTCTTATATAAACCGTACTTAAACAATATTAAGTTTGAGAATTAAAATGTTGGGGGGGGGGGGGGGGGGTTAAGAGGCCACAATACATCTCGACCACGTTATATACAGAACGGTGCCTTCAATAAAAAAATACGCCGAATATGCATCCATCACTTCCTACATTTAAAAACGAGAGAAAATTTGTTGTTTACACATTTCACGAACCACACAGGCCCTCTAATGATTGCATAATTTCAGCAGCATTGGTTCAACACAAGCAAACGCGATCTGCTTCGATGCTCAGTGTCTCGTGAGCAGAGTCAGGCTTACTTGAACTCCGTCTTACAGAACATTGTGTGAAGATGCAGCACGTCCGTCAGAGTGGACTTGCCTCCTTTTTAAAGTCTGGTTTTGATCTTCCACGAAGCTCATGGTCAACCCTAAACCGCATTCGCACAAACCGTGGCAGCATGTCCGGATACACGGATGCACACATTGAAAATAAAAAAAATAAACAATCTCCAATAGCGTGTGACTACGGTCATCCAAAACAGACACCGTACAACGGACGCAATGATGACCCGATCCACAAATGCGAAGTGAACATCACAGCGATGATGATGCACTCTGCTCGCTACTCCTTGACGCGGTTATCTGCTGGCTAGCTCCACCTGAATGTGAAGTTGTCGTTGTTGCTCCGCATTTACAGCAGCCATGTGAAACAAGAAGACGCATTTTAAAAGCCAACGGTTATTGAAAACGTCGCAGAGCATGCCAGGTTGGGTAGCGCAGCCTCTAGTCAACGAGTGCTCCGATCTTCTGCCGCGACCTTGCCCACTGCCTCCTAGTCTGTGCCACCCGCCAAACAATGCAGCTCCGGAGATAATCAGTCCCAATTAATTTCCCCCAGAACAATGGAAACAATGACTGATTTCCCCCAGACTGTATATCACCCCCCCCGCCCCCACCTCGACTAACTAGCACAGATGATCAATGCGTGCGCGTGTCTCTCGCAAAGTAAATGTGTTACAGAATCTCCACCTAAGCCCGTGATTTATGTGCGCGTGCACAGTCTACACACGTGGCAGCAAATTAATCAAACATTTACAACCTTGTTATCATTACACAGACACGCGGTGCTCAACAACTCAACACATTCGTTCATAACACTGCCATAAAAGGAATACACTGTATAAGAGACGTTTTAGGCAGTGATCCTGCTTAGTAGAAATGCATCGCTATACTAAGGCAGTGTTATATATATGTACTAGCTTTACTACCCGGCTTTGCCTGGGACATGGATTTACGACGCCCGGCCGCCTTTGTCACCCCAGTGGCGATGTTCACACACCACACCAGTTACTCGTTTGAGGCTGAGTCGACCTAGGAGAGGCCCAGGACCGATTCAAATAATCATCACCGGTGGTGGCCGTGAGCGGGAATCAAACTCGGGTCGCCGGCTTCGTAGCACAGCGCGCTAACCACTACACTACCGCTCCCCCCCACACACACAGACACACACACATACACGCGCTTGCTGCAGACACACAACTTTCAGGGTGCGTACGGCAGTAAACGACTGAAATAATAAAGCAATGCTGCGCGAAGAACGCCTTAGACCTGCAACACATTTGTACGGCACTTTACTCGCGGAGGGTTGGGGGGGGGATGCGACATCAGCAGGTACACTGCGTGACGCTTCCGCATGCGGGTGACATGACAGAGATGTGACGTCACAGCTCACTTGCCGTGCAAAATATATGCATTATTGCGCCCCCCCCCCCC